GACGCAAACTTTCTAAAGATTGTCAGACAAGTATAAAAATATTATGTAGTTTTGATAATTTTTTTGATATTATAGAGCTTTACTCGTTTCTTTGAATGACATCTACACCCGGTAGACTAATAAACGTTAAACGTAACTGAATGTTGTTTCTTCTTAAATATTTATTGCATGTTGGTGAGCTTTATAGCAAATCTAATTTTTATATTTCATCTTTAATGTGTTAGGAGGAACAGAAGTGACTGTTATTGCTCTAGTGAAAATTTATTTCATCAACTATACTCAAGATATATATGTCACATTACACGAAAGTGAAAGTATTTCCTACAAATAACCTTTGTAGAAAATATTTCTCTATGTGGACCGATTATAGGGAATCGGAACATTGTATTTCTATGAAAATGTTTCTGGTGTTTTTTTTTAAAAATAATCTACATGGAAATAGCGAAAAATAATTATATATTATTTGAATTCTTTTCTGAAAGCATAGCCAGGTGAAGAACTCGCAAAAATGTCAGATTTAGTGGGGAAAAAAATACGAATAATCTCCTAAAATAATTTTGAGTTATCCATATTATGCAAAGAAGTTGATGTCAAAATTTTGAAAGAAAAAAAAGAAAGAAAAAGAAAACTAACTTGTAATTTTAAACTAACAGTAGCAACAATTAAGTACTTAATTATAAGACTTAAGTATCCATAGTAAACGAAGAGCTCAACTTTTTAAAACTTTAAAATGGTGCATATTTTCAATTATTAGCTGACATATATCGTTTAAAAAAACTGTATTTGGATCATTTTGTATTAGCACGTTCACGCTGGGGTGACCCACCGGTGGGTCACGCTAAATTGTCTCATCTTGGCAGCGCACCGGAGTAAAAACTGGTAACAATAAATTTCATTTTTCAGTTTTTTTCCGGGAATAATAAAAATCCATAACTACCAATTGTTTTTAANCACGTTCACGCCGGGGTGACCCACCGGTGGGTCACGCTAGATTGTCTCATCTTGGCAGCGCACCGGAGTAAAAACTGGTAACAATAAATTTCATTTTTTAGTTTTTTTCCGGGAATAATAAAAATCCATAACTACCAATTGTTTTTAACGGATGCAATTTTTATATTGAATTGCTTCTTTGCCGTGATAAATTTCACTTTAATGCTGCATAAATCAAAATGTTTGTAAATCAATCTGTAAATATTTTCATGATGAATGGGTTAAGGGCCGCTGCGCGGCCTAGGCACCCAGTTTTTTGTTAAATAAAGCGTAAAAACCGTGATAAATTTCCTCCAGTGAATTGTTATTGTTGAGAACTCCTCCCGAATATTATCTAATATTGAAACAGTTCTTCAACCAATATTTTCTCTTTTCCCGTACCAGTATTTTCACTTTTCCCGGCGTAAACGTGTTAAAAAAACTGCATTTGGATCATTTTGTATTTATATACTTTTTATGATTAGTATTATGATTCGAATATCTCAATAGCATTTTATGAGCAATACTAAAAATAAAATAATTAGCTTACCATCATTTACCCCATATAAGAAAAAGTTAAATACGAATGAAAAAAGTCGGTTGTTTCTGAAAAGAAAATGCTTGTGATGAAACATTGATATCATCACTTTTTTTTTTGGTAAGAAGAAAACATCCCTTCGGAAATGACAAAATCCGCAAATGGGTTGATGCAAATAGATTTTTGTTAAGTGTGTAGTAACTATTCAGATTTCGCTTTTTTTTTTTCAAATTATATGCAACAAATATTTTATGATAGTTTATGGCCAGATATACAGCCAGCTTTTTGCGCATCTTCGGAAAATATGAAATTGTGGTAACTATGTTTATTTTTAATGTTTGATTCTTTGCCATCTAAATGTGCTTTCAAATATTTTCCATACCATTACTGCTAAACGATTCAAATATTCATATAAAGCGCCAATTTTCTCAAACTTCCTCATGCTATGGTTTTCAAAACATCAGCAAGATCTCAAAACATTCAAAAGACTTTAGTTTTTGATTGTCTACCACTCTATCAGGATTCGTGCGCACTTGGAAAAAAATTAGTACCAAGAATAAACTAGTTGTAACTATTTCGTTGCTAAGAAGCAGAAAATATTTCAGAATTAGCTCTTAAATTAGAAATGAAAATTATGTCTCCTAACTTAGGACCTAAATTTAGCATCAGTATTAAAAAATTAAGCCTTAAAAATGTTATTTTATTAAAATGGTTTAAAGGAAACAGAGTCATTAAAATTCCTGATTTCATTTCTGTTGTGATTATTAATTTGTGCTGTATTATTAATATCAACATAAGCGGCAGCAATGCTAAAATTTACCTTTTTCGATGTACCTTTTCTGAGCATCTAAACGATTTTGCTTTAGTTTTTTTTCTCGGAATACTTACATTTACATGTATAACTACTAATACATATCTTTGGCGGAATTTGTTTTTTAAAAATTATGAGCTGAGAACTTTTGATTTTATAAAACTTTAATTTAAAATCTTTCATAACTCAGAAAGCATTCCCGTTAACGCTGCTAACTACTACTCTCTTTTCAAAATGCTTTGTAGAGTGGAAAACAATAAAAACTAAAGCATTCAAAATTTGACAAATTTTGCCAACATTTTAAAAAAGTCACAGTGAGAGAACTGAGGCAAAACGCCTTTATGTCAGGCCTGAAAGTAAGACGGAAAAGAGAAAAAACTGGTTGCAGTACTATTTCTATAATATATAATTTTCGGGAGGAGTAAATCTATTCTAAACAATTATTTAATAATACTCTCTAGGAAAAGAAGCGATTCAATATATAAATTGTTTCCCTTAAAAAATATGATAGCTATATATATTTTTTATTCCCGGAAAATTATTTGTTACCAGATTCTATTCATTTCCGTCTTGATATATACGGACTCTTAGCCCTGTTTTATGTACGAACTTAAGACTCATTCAAATACGATGCAGAGATGCCAACTGCTCCGGACACGCCAAAATAATTTAAAAAACGGTAAATAACTACAAGGTAAACTTTGCAAATACTTGACTATTTCTGCTTGCTTTTTAAAAGGCATAGCATGACGTTAGTACTATAAAGTGGTCAATTATATAAGCCTACGAATTATGTAGAAATAGCGGTGGAAAAAAATTTACTAAATTTAATTTATTAAACCAAGAGGCACATTTGATAAACTACCACTTTAAAATATATATTTGCTGTCCGGAGCAATTTGGCATCTCTGATTATGATGTGGAGAATAATTTTAAATCAAAAAATCATAAATAATTACATAAACTTTGCTACCATTAGAATAACTTTTTCCAAAACTTTTAGCAGCCGTAGTAGTAGATGGATAGATCGAATTTTCTTTTAACCTTTTCGGGGCGGGTGGGTCTTAAATGTATTCGTACGAAATAAGAATCAGGATGGTAAAAAACAAAAGGAGGTACCTTAAGTTCGGGAATAGCTAACTTCACAGACTCACTTAAAATTTAACACATCCAATCCTTGTTGGTAGAATGGTAGAAATCACATAAATCTCGGTGCACTGCCACGAAGCGGTATTAACCGATTCATCTGTAGTAATAAATCGATGATGAGGAGTAGTGAGGAGGAATGGAGATGGGAGGAAGAGAGGGTTCGGGTGACATGGACAATCAAGAAATGTTGAGTGGCATGAAGTATAATTAAATGACAAAATAATCATAAGCAATATAAAATAAAATAATCATGAAGATTATGATGATCGATATTATTAAGGAAGGTCTGGGTTAAATCTAATATCCAATCCTTGTTTTTTAAATGTGTAACTATATAATTTTTTATTTGAACCAAGTAGAGGTGAATTATTTAAAGTAAACTATTATTACCCCACCCACAAATAAAGTGCAACAAAATTAGTTTGACTACCAGCTTTTTTTTTTTCCTTTGTCGCCACCCCGAGAATGCATATGCGAATCTACTCATACTCATTTGTTGTAGTGATCTTAGCATCAGCACCGTGAGGGGCTCTAACTAATTCATCTGAGTGGGAATGCATGAGGGGAATGCTGTGTGGGAATGCTGAGTGGGAATGCATGCCGAAGCGTAATTGAATGTGAAGGTTGGGGTTCAGTAACATTTACTGAGTGAAAATTAAAATAAAATAGCGATATTTAAACAAACAAATTTAAGAGAGAGAGAGAAGAGGTTTTTTGTGGCAGACTGTCTCGCCTCCCCCCGAGGTATTACCCCCGAGCTTCACAGGTGCACAGTAGCCACATAGCCTCAGAAAAATCGGAAAAATGCATGATAATAAATGTGCTAAAATATATACAAGTATTTACAAAATTTTCGGGACAATACCCCATCGGATAGGAAAAAAGCGATTGCCGGGCAATATTTTATGTTGTCTTCATATGACTCTCCCATCTCAAAGAGGTTAATATCTGTTTAAATTATTTTATGTATTAGTGGACAAAATTCTTCTTATTCTATTATATTAGACAAATGCGTTAACTGTAATACAAATTGGAAAAAAAAGCATTCTGAAATTACGGAAATTCCGTAGTCTCAGAAGTTGGAGGATATCAACGCCTCCTATAACTGAAAGCCTCCGCATGGTTTTTTACAAGTAGTCCGATCAGACCACTGTGAAGGATATCCACTTACCGAACGAGTCATTTAATACAGAATATAGTTGCAAAAAGAAAGTGGTAGCAAATATATGACTAAAACTTTATTTTATTTACGAATATTATTGGCTTGCCTTATTCACTTGTCAACCACTAGAGATTCAATTCTCAAAAATATAAGGTAAATTTCTCTCAATTACTTTTACAAAAGGTTTTGGGTACATGCGCACAACTGGTTCACTTTTTAAGCAGTCAGCGCGGACTACTTATGAAAAACCGTGTAGAAGCTTCTTGATGTAGGAGGTGATGAGGATATGCTATGTGCAATTATCTTTTATTGAAAAAACTGAATTCCTGTTTTAGTTAAGCCTTTCTTAAAATGTTGCATTTTCCTTTCAGTGTGTTTACAACTTCATAGAGGTATATTCACTTTATTGGCTCCCGCAACAGATCCTACATATGAAACTATAGCAGCTTATACAAACACATTTCATATGCCATTTCTCAGTCCTTCATTGCCTCAGACAAGTTCTAACAAGCCATTACTTTATGCAGTCAGCATGAAACCACAGTACCTCAAAGCTATAGTTGATGTTATTAAATATTACAGATGGAAATCAATCATATATCTCTATGATTCTGATGAGGGTAAGTTTTAACTCTTTATCTTCTATTAAGCAAATATTAAATTTATAATGGACATCTTAAGGGTCTTGAAATTAGTTTTATTTTTTGAAAACGATTTTCAATTATTTGTTTATTGAATTGCATTTTGCTTTGTTAAGGGATAAAACTGTTTGTTTTTTGACGAGACGTAAGTTCTTGGTTATTTTACCCATTCTTTTCCTCATGTATTATTTTTTTTTTAAATTTTAACATTAAGGAATTACGTTCTTTAAAAACTATAAAGTATTTTTGCACTTAATTTGGAATAAAACTATCTTAGAGTGCATTTATTCTTAACATTTATTTTAATTCAATAAATTAATTAACTGAAATAAAAGAAAAATTGTAGTTACAGATTTTTTAATAATGTCATAAAGACAGTATTGATACATGGATTTGAAAGTGCAAAAAATATCATACATGTTTTCTCATTTCTTTTAATTAAAATAAAATAAAGATTAACTTCACACTTAGCATATAAAGATTATAACATTTTACGCCTTTTTTAGTTAAAGGTTTTGAACACGCAGGTGTTAAATCTATAGTTGGTAGATATCAAAACCCTTTAGAAAGAAGTATCCTCAGCTCACAGGGGGAAATTTTTTTCAGGTCTGAGTCACAGACAAGGTAGTTGTCTGACTATCTATCACTTATATAACCTTTTCTTTGTCAATGACAGGTTTTTTCAAAGGTGTGTAAATGTGTAAATAGCATATGTTTTCCATATTATTTTCTATTTTATTACATCATCGTATATGTTAAGATTATTGACAAATGTAAATATTATTATATTCAAATTTAATTTAATCTCATTCATGTTTAATTTCCTGTTGATTTCATCATAAGTTTAACCAATTGGCTTTCCACTCATTACTATTTGGTGCTTGGCACCCTCTCTCTCCCCTTAATTCTACTCCCACTTTACACATTCCTCCATTATGACTCAAAAATCTGACGAATCAAATACTGCCACTTCGCTGCAGTGCACTGAGATTTGAGCTATGTTCTAAAGTTCTTTTGGATGTATATTTTTTTTCAAAAAATAAATTGAAGTAAATTACAGGCTTTTACTCTCCTATAGTATGATTTCTGAAATATATATCGCTATTTAATTTTTTTCCGACTAAGAAATAAATAGCCAACATTTATGATTAAGAGAGATTCTGAGTTTTTATTTTTTTAATTTTTTATTTTATTACACGTAACGCATATACCTGCAATCATCTTTACTAAATATGCAACCACACTGGTGCCTTATTATCAAAGCTAAATATATACAAGTAGTACAAGTAATTCTTATACATTTACGTGCGCAAGCATGTAATTTCTAACTAATAATATAATTCCTCGCATTGGACATGCTTTTAACTGTTACGTAAGATTGACAAGAACGAATACTTTACTTTCCCCTAAAAAAATAGAAGTTTTTGACTGTTGTTTTAAATTTTATATGGGTCAATACAAAGCGTGCTATTAAAAAATAAAAATAAATAAAGAAAGAAAACAGTTATAAAATCAAACCATACCATAATCTTGATGTAATTTACAATTAAAAATATACTGCAGAAATCCATATTTTAAAATTACATTTAAAAAACGAAAAATTTTATTAAAATTTTACGCAAACATATAGTTTTTACACAAAAAATAACACATTTTCGTAATAATTTATTTGTAATTTAGTTTTATTTCTATATGTAGCTTTCACTTACATAAATCTCATTATGCAGCTTTTAAATCATTTGAATAATGTATTTCTTCAAGATTCTTTGATAAATCTAAGTATTGTGATTTTATAGAAGAAAGAAAATCATTTCTTTTTGTTATAAAAATATCCTATTTTAGTAACATAAAAGGCACTCTATCTTAATTCCTTTACTAAGGAACAGCATGCCAGTCAAAATACCAGAAACACAGACATTGTTCGATAAACGAATTTTGGACATGTAGGGATTCGGAAGAAAATAAACAGATTAATAAAAGAGGATTCGGTAAATATAGCCTTTTTATTACAGGGCCTGGTTTTCAGTAGGAAAACTATTGAATATTTTCAAGTATAGTCACTCAGCTTATATTAAATTTAACATCTTCATAAAACATCAAGTGAAAATTATTTTTACAATTTTTTGTCGGAAATTTCAGAGAGAGATTAAAACAAACTCATCCTTAAAACTATAGCTTATAATTTATAATTTTTGGTAAATTAATTATGTTTATGTTAAAGAGACTTTTATAGTACTGTATTGGAAAAAAATATATTCGTGTTTCTGTTTCGATTATTCTTGTATTTCATTTTCAAAAGACCAGAACTCAGTAAGGAGTTTCGAGGAAACGTGATTTTTTTTCTTCATTTAAATGGTAAAAAAATGATTACTATAAATGCTAGATTATAGAATTTATATAAAAAGAGAAAGTTATTTTGAAAAATCGCAATATATTAATAATGCAAAACATTTTTCCCACCTGATATAGAAATGAGTTTAACACTAGGCTTACAGACGCTTTTTATATTCCTATCTCTATGAAACCGTGTCAGTTTGACGCATGAACGAATACATATAACAGCACTTACAGAGATGCCAACTTGCGCCGGACAGCAAATATATATTTAAAGTGGTAGCTTATCAATAGTGATTCATGGTTTAATAAATTCAATTTAGCATATTTTTATCCACCACTATTTCTAAATAATTCGTAGGCTTATATAATTCACCACTTTATATTTGAAAAATTTACTTAGTAGTTACATACTGTGTTTATTTAATTATTTTGACGTGTCCGGAGCAGTTGGCATCTCTGCGCTTAGAAAGCAATGTAATTATATACTGTAAGAAAAAAANTAAGGAGTTTCGAGGAAATGTGATTTTTTTATTATTTAAATGGTAAAAAAATTATTACTATAAATGATAGATTGTAGAATTTATTTATAAAAAGGCAAGTTATTTTTAATATTCGCAATATATTAATTGTGCAAAACATTTTTCCCAACTGATATAGAAATGAGTTTCACACTAGGCATGCGGGCGCTTTTTATATTCCTATCTCTATGAAACCGTGTCAGTTTGACGCATGAACGAATACATATAACAGCACTTACAGAGATACCAACTCGCTCCGGACAGCAAATATATATGTTAAAGTGGTAGCTTATCAATAGTGATTCATGGTTTAATAAATTCAATTTAGTATATTTTTATCCAACACTATTTCTAAATACTTCGTAGGCTTATATAATTCACCACTTTATATTTGCAAAATTTACTTAGTAGTCATTTAATGTTTTTATCTAATTATTTTGGCGTGTCCGGAGCAGTTGGCATCTCTGCACTTAGAAAGCAATGTAATTATATACTATAAAAAAAGGAAAAGATGGGATATATATTTAAGAAATATTTTAGTATTTCATTTTTCAATACTCGAACTAAACAGCTGAAACCTTCAAAATCTGACATTCTGACATCAATTGACATTCTGCGTCTGTTCTGTCTATTATTGCTTATCGGCAACAGTTATTTGTCGCTTGCTTCATTTGAGATAACGATATCGGATAAGGGATCGAAGTATTGCCGATACATTCCTATTTATTATTGATGTGAGGCTTGCATGTTTACTCAAAATTTTGTCTAAATTACGATCGCGTCAAGTTGATGCATATCCGTAGAGATAGGTAAACCACAAACAGAATTTCAATATTTTAACGCTTTTGAAGAAAATAGACTTCAATACATATTTACCTCCATCAATGGATAAAATTCATTACAAGAGATAAAATAAAAATGCAAACGGGTTTTGTAATTTTCCTTGTAAAATTCGAAATGCGTCAAAATGACGCGTCCCTTTAACGTAGTGTTGTAAAAGCAGCCTAAGTTGTAGCTAACAGTGGAAATTATCTCCATGATGATTTAAAACAGGCAAAATCTAAGAGTGCTTAACACTCTGCAAGCGGGTAACATAAAAATATGTTTTTGAAATTTCTTGAATCCATGCAAAATTTTAAAAAGTGGTAGCAAAACTGCATCGGTCTCTGCTCTGTTTTTCGAGAAATTATCCATTCGTTATTATCACAAACATAAATGATTCAGTATATATGTAATCAGTGGTCGCTCGTCATAATTTTTTCAAATTTAAGTTGTAGCTATAGAGACGAGTTACCTTCGGCATTTATGAAAATTTACATTACACTTTTTTAAAACTTTAATTTATAACGGCTGTTACATCTTTTGGTAAAGTTGCTCACATGCAATGTGCTAAAAGTGGTCGAAAAGGATTGAAATATATAGTTTTCGCTAATTCTTATCTACGAAAATATATTTGTAAATTAAGCAAACTATACGTCATATTCGCTGGTTCAAAATTAAAACGACACTTCTGCTCTCACTTCTCATTCAAACAACACTAATTATGTTTTCAGAAGTGTCGTTTCAATTTTGAACCAGGGATACCAACTTTAACGCACTTTAACCCCTTGGGGACGGGTGATTCAAAAAAGCTTTCGTACAAAAATCAGGATCAGGACGTAATTAAATAAAAAACGGTAACTTAAATGTAGTCGCTTCTAATTTGACAGACTTGCTTTGCTTTTACTTTAACTATTGTCAGTTTAATCATATTTATAATCTATGTTAATTCAAAGTATAACTAAATAGTTTTATTTTGATCAAATTAATCGTGAATTAAATAAATCAAGCAAATATAACTCCGACCACAAATAAACTGCTAAAGAAATACTTTGATTACCAGTTTTATCTTTTTTCCCTGATTGATACGGTTTTATGCTGGCACGTATTTGTGACAGTCGGCGCGAAAGGGTTAAAGAAGTGTTTTTGTCGTGATAGTGACAATCCTAAAGAAGTTATATTCTTAGCAGACAATCAGTTTGCATTTGGTCAACACTTAAAACACGAGAGAATTGCTAGCAAGCTGCTCTAATTATAGTTTCTGTGAAAATCGATATAAATCAAAAGGGCAGCCAGCACTAGGTT